TTTAAATGTATTTATCTTAACTTTCGATTTTATGCAAAATAATTTAGAATAATTTTTTTTTGTTGAGAAAGTGAGTTTTTTTGCTGAGAGATTGTTACTGAATAGGTTGCCAATTTTCATTTTTTGTGAGAAAAGAGTAAAAGATGCTTATTATGTTTTTGTGCAGTATTCATTTATTTATAATTGTGTGGATGAAAATCTTAGCTTGCATTCATGTGAAATTAGGTTCTACAAGAACTCAGAACCTTCTACGAAGAACTCAGAACCTTCTACGAAGAACTCAGAACCTAGGTTTTGCGAGGAACCTAGGGGATGAGGATGAGGATGGTGAAGATGATGCTGGGAAAGAAGAAAATGAAGAAATTAAAATTAATAATGATTTAATTATAACACATTATAAAAAAAAGTTCTGGGTACCTGGTTCCATGAGGAACCCAAGAAGATGAAGAGGAAGATGGTAAAGATGATGCAGGAAGAAGAAAATGAAAAAATTAAAATTAATTATGATTTTATTATGCCATATCATCAAAAAAAAAAGTTCACATTGGATTATGTTACTGTTTGATGCTACGTATTACAATTTTTAACGGTTATTAACGGGACCGTGATGGCCCGTTAAAATATTGGGTCTTTCACGGGTTTTGAAAAGTGGAGGGTGTGAATAGGGAGAAAAAATTCTGGAAGGTGTTAACCGCGGAAAAAAAATAAATGGAGGGTGCAAATAGGAGTTTTGGCCTTAAAAATATTAAAATTTTTAATTATAATTATTAAATATGTGAAAAATAATGTAAGTTATAATTTTATTAAATTTATTATATGACTATTATTAAATATCTTAATATTTTTAATGTCAAAATATCTTCTTTTTTTCATTACAATATTATGTGCATCTTTTGTTTGATAAAAAAAAAAGAATATTTCATTCAGTCAAATTAAAATATTAACCAAAGTTTAAATTTTTCCTAAACAAAATATCCTTTTATTTTCTTCTCTTCGCTTTCTTTTCCTTACACTAAACAAGCCCTATATTATGTAAGAAGAAGAAACTGAGTTCCATTTATTATTTTCCGCAAAACATGGTATCAGAACCATAAAGCCTTCTTCTCCTCTCGGGAGGCAGTATATTTTCTGCTATATGCCATTGGGCTTTTGTTCATAAGATTGAAAAAATAGTGGATGACCCAATAATTTTGGGCTTTATATTTTATCTAATAAGATTTGCTAATGGGGCAACTATGGGGTGTTAGTGTTTCCATTTTATCGGTCCAAAGGGCTGCAGTTTTGGCAAAATATTGAATTGATCTAACTTTAGCAACTTACTAAAGAAATTGAAATAGTATCAATTTTGTTTAGTGCAAAATCTTGTTAAGTTTACAAGTTAACAAAATTGAGATTTTACAGATTGATATGGTCTCTCAATACCTTGCTCCTACATTATTAGCAGCCTGAGTCATTATTAGAAACATATCTTCCTAATCAAAAACCCTTAAGTTTTTACAACCAATCTATTTAGAAAAAACATTCTAAACCCGTGAGTTCTCCCTTCATGGATCATCCTAATTGAAAGCCACCGAGTTCTCCAGCTCCTTGATAAAGTCATTGCATCCACCGCTGGCCATCAGCTTTTGGGGACAGCGCTGATGATCCCCAAGCGTTAGATGACGAAGATGACTTACTGCCTTAGCTTAGCATGCCCCTATTAGTAGCAGGAAAGATTTACAGATCAACATGGATACTAACAGAACATTTTAAACTAAAATAATAGAAATCATGAAAATAAATATAGAAACATGAAAAACCAAAACATAAGGATGCGTTACTCACTTTGTAACAATTTCAACATTTTTAGAGTCCAGGCCATGATTTTCTAATCTTGAAACCACAAAGATGGAAGGAAACATATGCCTACATATACCTTTGGTTGGGTAAGTTAATGTTTAATTGGTTTTGTAATAGCAACTTTCCCTAAAACAGTCATTTCGCTTCCTCTTGCTGAAGCTCATCTGCAATTAACATCCTATTAAAATAGTGTAGCATTGTGCTAATAACTTAAATAATTCAGTGATAATTTTATTTCAATAAAAATAAAAATTTTTAAATTTGAGTTGCATAGCATAGATGTAAAATAGATTAAGAGATAAAAGAGAATTACTTTTTATTATATAACTCAAAATCAATAAAAAGAAAAGAATAGTATAGTAGTACTGTTGATTGTTTTTGCTTTGTATTCTCAGTATAACTGGCAGTCCCTTAGTTGTTATTAATATAATATTTGTCTTCGGCCAAAAAAAACAAAAAAACTGTTAGAATATGTATAATTTACAACAACCCAATTGAGAATATAATTTAGAAAAATTAATGGGCAACTGCAAGGAAGCAAACAACTAATGTGTGAGAATGAAGATATTTGATCTATATGAAGGGTAAAATGTGCTGAAGCTTTCCATCAAAAAACAAATATAGGGGAGAGGCGTTAAAAGTAATTATAATCGTAAATGTCATTCCTATACCTAACTAAATTATAAATGTTGTTCCTCACAAGTACTTAATAAGTAATAATTAATCAATTGATAATAATTAACATGTATTCTGGTTTAGTAAATTATAATATATATTAATTAAAAACTTATTATTTTAATAACTGAATAAAATTAAAAATACAATTATGTATATATGATATAAAAACCAACTGAATCATTTTAATAACTAAATTAGGATAAATATTAAATATTGTATTAAACTGAATATATACCAATTGTTTCCCTTACTCAATACCCTCTTGAGTCTTCCTCCTCAGTCTTTTTGTTA